TTCAACCAAAGTAAATGTTCTCACTCTTTCTTTGAACACTGAACCGTATAAACATTATACCACAGGACAAGCTGTGAGTCATATATGAAGAAATTCGAAAACATCAATTCTATCTGAAGTTTGTGCTGATGATGTCGTCCAGGAAAACAATGAAAGCTTCATGGCCAAAGCGTTCTGCTTAGAAAACAAAAACTCCAAAATATAGCACAACTATTTATTTCAATAAATTAATTTAACAGTCAAATTTCTTTTACATTTATAATGTCTACTGTAAGTTGTTTCACCGTTGCTCGAAAGAAGAACACGATTAAGTTATTGACATTTCAAATATGAATCATGTATTTGTAAATGAATTTGAAGTAAATCCAACGTTTCGCCTAGCAATCTAGTCCAAGCTTTTTCAAGCAAATATAATCAAACATTAAAATTATCGAATATAAATACGTACATGGTTCTTCGGTTCATTGTACACTGAATAGGTCATCCAAACGTTAAAAATGTTTAAACTAGGTATACGTATTAGTGTGTAAAAGACTTGTGAGACTTGACGTTTTAATAATCTCATCTTTATGTGTGTACATATGATTGGTTTTAATGGTTTCCATGTTCCTATCCATTTGCAAACTCACTTCCTTATGTTATCTTCTAAATTATGATCTGAAGTAATAATTTTTTTTGGCTATACAAGGAAAACTGTATGTTCTAGGTATCAAACTAACGTATATCATATAAACAAACGCTTTATTTTTTCTTGCGTTTGTTTTAACGGTCCATTTATAAACAACTGTATGTTTGAAAGAGTGGAGAAAATAGGACAAACTGAAATAGATTCAATCAATTTTAGTGTTGTTTAGTTATTTGCTTAAAACTTTACTTCCATATATCCATGTTCATACATCATTCATACATCAAGTCTTTAAGTATGATTATAAACTAATTTTTTTAAGGGGGGCAACTAATCAATCACAATATGCTTGGCTAGACTAACATATAAGACGAAATAATCATTTTATTTCATTTAAACATAAAGCAGTTTACCAATACCTTGACACAGTTCATATAACTATTTACAAACGTCGATTGTCGAAAAGCATTTTAAAGCTTAATGACGTACCAACGCTTCCTTCCATGTAATAGAAGTTATAAACACAGGGTTAGTCAAACCTTGGTTCCCACAAGAGCATGCAGTCTTTTTCTAATGCTACTACATACTTTAACTCATACTTAAATCAGCACTTCAGCTCAGTGATAATAATTAGATTCTGTTAATTTTTAAAGCATGAACACGTTATTCGATGTCATGAAGAGGGTTCAGGCTACACAACAGGGGATATCAATTTACAGAAAATTTTAATTCTTTTTAAACTTCAGAAATTTTAAATAAAAAAGACATCAAACCTAAGGTAAGTTATAGAAAGGTGTGGATGATAAGTAACTGCGACATGTGATAATTTCTGACGTTTCCAGCCTGAATTAGCACTAAATAGATCTGGATTCTAATTGGTTGAGATACATGCCAACTAATATGAACATACAACGTGAAATTTTGAAAGTTGTGTGAGGGAACTATGATTTAAAAGTAGATAGCGTATATATGAACACATGTTTTACTTTGTTCGTACCCTGTCAGTTCAATTTCAGTTACATTCAAGTAATCGTTTTTCTAGCTGAAACATTGACTCAACACTCAACAATGGGAACGATATCAACTAGTGTAGTCCATACTTTAAGTGTTTGTGTATTCAAACTTCAATATAAGTAATCTTAAATGTAGTCGTATTATTTCAGTTGTTATTTGTTACATAGACTTGTGAAAAGATTATTTGCATTACAAACAAGTTTTGTTTAGATAAACATTGACACTGAAAAACGAAGAAGTTATTTCTGAGGTAATAGTACATTTTACTTGCAACTTATATAACTGGCATTTGAAGCTTCTTTTTAATATTTCACTAGTAAGTATCAGATCAATCTAATCAGTCAATGAGTTGAAGCAATCAATCATTTTCTATTGATATTAGTGAGTATATTGCCTCACTTCATTACTATATTCATTCCATTAGATGGATTCTTCCAGTCTCAAAGTTATACCATAGAATATATTTTCAGTTATCATTTTCAGCATCTTCAAATGAAACTAGATCGGATAATAATCATGGAAACATATAAATAGTCATGAAAGATTAAGGATCATATTCATTTTTATATTTTATCTACAATGTGTGTGATTCTCTAAATGCAAATGTTTTTAAAGGATACTTCCATTGTAAGCTTTAACCGAGATCGAATCTGAGATATTCAAATCTAGTAAGTATTACCATTTATCTTGTATGAATACCAAAGCGATTACAATTCTGACGTAGATTAAAGTAAAATTTAATGCATTATTTTGCAATCAGTGATGACAATTCCTTACTGTGATAAGATTTATAGTAATCACAATTGATTGATCACTGGGTGGTGATCAATGTCATGCGTGTCAAGTCCTTCTTAGTGCTGATCGAATGCTATCGATTAAGTTGGCCCTACACTGCGTGCACTATGTTGAGATAGATGGCGGTTGGAGGTGGTCAACAGGAAATCCTGGACCCAGGTTCCATGCTACTTGACACTCGTCAGCAAAGTTTATCTGTACTTTTGAGGGAACTAGTGCTCCCTGACGGATTCGATCCCGTGTCACTCAGCTTCACAGTCACAGACGTTACCACTGATCTATTCAGGCGGCGACCGACCTCCTGTAGGACTGAAATGTAATCACAATTGGTTGATCACTGGGTGGTGATCAATGTCATGTGTGTCATTCAGGGATCACCAGTTCCCTCAAGATAACAGGTACACCTTGCTGACGAGTGCCAAGTAGCACAAAACCCGGGTCCAGGATTTCCTGTTGACCACCTCCAACCACCATCTTATTTATAGTAATACCTAAATTTATTTATATTACTGTTACTATTATCACTATTATTATTATTACTATTCAGTACATCTATTCTTTAATTATCATAATTTTCATCGTATATATTTAAATATTTTTAGGTCACTTGATGTTTAACCTACCAACAAATTTATAATATACTACTTATAAGCATAAGTTAAATGGTCAGTAAGCGAAATATAACTTTTGAATTAAAGATTCATATTCCACTTCACAAAATTCATTCTAATAGACTCAGTAGTATATTTAACATCTGCACAATCAGATAATTCGAAAAGTACCATGTAAAACAACGATAAATCTTACGTAGTTCAACTTTACATAACTTGAAACATTAATAATAACTATTAATTATATCCTTATAACAGTATTCATTATATATGAACCTGTTGATTACATAACACTTTTGCTGTTTTCTAAACTATAATTATTTATATTTGAACCTTTATTTTTTTGCATTTTTAAAACTATTCCTTCTGTTAGAAAGTGTTGAAACATTAACAGTTGAATATAGATCTGATAAAATATTTACCTCTTGTTAGCTAATGGTCAAAAGTTCAATTATATTGATTGTTTTATGAAATTTGTTTAAATCATCTATTAAATTTTCAATTTTTTTCTTTTATTTGATAAATAATTCCTTTTCTTTAAATAAGAACTTTTGTCTAAATTAGAGCGAATAGTTTCACAATATTTGGGCGCCGAGTTGATGTAAGACATTAAATAGGAATAATATATATTTGTAGAATCTCAGCGAATGAATTTGAAGTAAATATGGATATTTCCTTGGAAAAAGCTTGGATCAAATTGTCAGGCGAAACGTTGGATTTACTTCAAATTCATTCGCTGAGATTTTACAAATATATTATTATCAGAAGGGGTTTTGTGGAGATTTCAGTATTTTCATAGTTGAAAGCGTGAGTCAATTGAAGCTAGACAACCATGGAAAACCTGGATGCAATGGACGGCCGTCTCGTCCTATTATGGGACTTCTCAACAGTGTGCATCCACGATACCGCCTCGTGAGATTCGAACTTAGGACCTACCATTCTCGCGCCAGAGCACTTAACCGATAGACCACTGAGCCGGCATCCAATGGTGTTAATGTCTAACTTCAACTGATCCACGAAGTTGAGCAACCGTTCACCGATTTTCTTCAGTGAGTTGATATCTCACAACAGACCTGGTTGAACTCCACTGGTCACAGCTTCTCCCTAGAACTCCCGGATTTATCTCTCGGAGTCCCATAATAGGACGAAACGGCCGTCCAGTGCTTCCAGGTTATTCATAGTGGTCTAGCTTCAATTGACTCACGCTTTCAACTATGAAAATATATTGTTCCCATTTAATTCCTATTCTTGACTGAATATTTTGATTTACAACTGTAGTGAATAAGAAAACAAGTGGGAATAAGCGAATGTATCTGAGTATAAAATTACAGAGCATCTTAGTAAAATCTGAGAACCATATGGTAAATATTTCATTTACAAAATGTCAATCAACCGTTTCAGACTTGATTGTTCTTTCGTTTACATGCCAATCACTCTCTATTCCCATCTCCTTAACCTTTTGCTGTCAGGTATTTCACTTTCGATTGATGATACATACTACTTATATCCATCGACATCAGTAAGACACACCACACAACTAGTAATGTTATTTCAGTAGAAAGTATTTACTCAAAAATTGTGTTTTAATGAAATTTTCTAGTTGAAATTAGGAGCTCCTTTTACTTCAGTCTTATGGCTAATCAGTCATCAATTTAAAACATCTCCGATTTTTAGTATCCACTTTATAAATGATGTTTCTTTTCCCTAATTATTGTTCATCCATACAAATACTTTCTTCAAAAGAAATGTGTAGTCCTATGCTTTTAAATCTATCAATTCAAGTAGATATTCAGAGTCAAATGCTTTCAACTTCAAGGTACCCTTATTTTAGAAGAGTAAAAGTACCACTAAACTTAATTATTAGTACTAATTTCTTAATAAGTAACAAATTGTAAACTCTCAATAGCAACCAAACAGTTTAAAACATATTTTATTTTTATATTTCTTAATTTTAGGAATCTAGGTCTTTTATCTTGGAGAACAATTCATCAAAGTCCTGCATTTCTACTAGCCCCCAAACCACTTTGTTTACGTGTTCAAGGTTTGACACATTCACAAGCTCAGTTATGTCAACGTTATTTTGATCATATGCCTGTGATAAGTATTGGTGCAAAATTAGGCATTTATGAATGTCAACGGCAATTTCGATTTAGACATTGGAATTGCAGTTCTGACAATGAAGCTTCAGCATTTGGTCCGGTAACTTTAACAGGTCAGTTTATATACTACTCTTACTATTTTTAATAACCAATTTATGTGCCATGGAAAAAGTCTTGAGCTTAAAGCTTCATTATGAGCGATAGATATGAGTAACTGACTTTATGATCGTTTGGTATTAGTTGATAAAATGTGTATTCTCTAAACTACGTGGTTTAATCATGAAGCTTCCATTGTCTTTTTATGCATTCTCATTGACACAAACTTCAGAGAGAGGTGGGTGATTAGATTTTCTTTCACAAGTGATTAATAGCCTGCTTCGTCAACAGTGAATATCACTGGATGTTGTCGACACTAATATTGTCATCATCTCTATTTTCATTTTGATTGTTTTCCCCTTGTGGTTGTTTACAATTTTTTATCTGGTTAGTAAGTTGAATCTATATTAATATTTTTATTCATTGTTGACTGACATTAACGGAAGGCTGCTGAAAGTCATCTCAAATGAGTGAAGTAGTCGACGCGTTCGACTATTTCACTCTCTATCCTTAGTTCATGTGTTGACGCAGGCCAGTCCTGAAACAACAATTTGTATATATAGGGAGAGAAACGCATCCCAAACATCCTGGAATTGTTGCCCAATGCTACAAAAGGACTCTACATTTTATGAGCATCTTCAGCAAGCAGCACATTTGGTTGTCTCTGTCTGTGTTCTCGCTCACTATAAGTCTATTTCGTAAATATCCTCTTCCTTGCTAAATATTATTTCTAATGAGATTTTGACCTTACATTCATAGTATCTTGTAATTATTTCAACTAAAATAAACATACGTTTTACTGTAATACAAAAAATGTATTCTGTTCAGATATAAAACTTTGTCTCAACTATAACAAAATAACGAACTCTTCAATAAGGTATTCTTTGTATACAATTCCTTTCTATGTGAATATGATAAAAACAGAGGTATATAAATAAGTAACATTCTTATCAAGGAACTAACATCAAGTTCTACAGTTGGAAGGAAACATCAAGTCTGAGGGATATATATATATATCTATATTACTAGTAAAATAAGTCTTCCATTTGGAGTTTCTAATCATCGAAGTGGTCAATATTTAGTGTATAGCTGAATTGGTCTGTAGGTCAACTGAGATTTTGAGGATAAAAATCGGAATGTATATGAAGGTTATATAAAGTGAATGAATTATCAACATTTATATTAATCAGATCAAACGTTCGAATGAGGATTACGTAGTTTATGTAATATTAGAAATTATGCCGACGGTACTAAAGTGTACTGGCGATACGTCTGAATATTCATCCTGACTATTAATCTGGACATATAACTGTAGAATTTAACAAGAATTTCTTGAAAAATGTATTGCTCGTTCATACATCCATATTGAAATTTAATCTTTTTTAACAACCGAACAATAATACATGTATAGCAGAGATGGATAGTGGCTAGCAGTGGAATCCAGGACTCGCGTTTCGTCCTATTTGGAACTCGTCAGCTGGATGTACCAGCCACTATCCATCTCTGTTAACCATGCTTGTGAATTAAGGCATATCGAGGCAATACGCACAGTATGCACATATGCCAATTAGAGACTGACCAGTTGCAGTCCTAACAAATCGATGGGAAGATTCAAACAAACAATACTAAGTTGAAATAATACATATAGTTTAAAATAAACTAATAAAAAACGTAATCCACAATCAAGATTTGTATTTGGGTTTTTTTTCGCTTGTCATCGGTACTGTAGTCTGTCGAATAAATATACACTTTCTTGACCATTTGCATTCAACATTAATAGAAATGGATTGTACGAATCATGTCATCGATGATGTGTTGTCAAATTGCCTCGACTTTGTTATCCAGTCACAAGTTTTCGATAAAGTTTAATAGTAGCTAACAGTATAATTTATTAGGCTCATTTCCTCTTGAATTCAGCTAAATTAATCTGACGAGTCACAAAGCGGATGGAATACACTTTCTGGATTACACTACTAGCCACTGTTTAACCTTATCAAAATTTTACCTAAAATTGTTAGTTTCCTTACTTTACAATGTGTTTGTTTAACATTATATATTTAGAATAATGTAATTTAATTAAAACTTTAAATGGCTATCATATATAGATGATAGTCAACTTTCCCATACAAACTATTCAAACATTCATATACAATTTAACTTTTCAGAATAAATGTTTCTGACAAACAAACTACTCAATCATTTTTATACCTTCGCTTTTAACGGAAATAAGAACCGATTAATGTTTTTTATTTCTTTTTACAAAATTAAATCCATTCATTGAGTCTTGTTGAGTTGGTGATAAGAAGGCTTAGAGATAAAATTACCAATCTTTGTATTCTATAATAAATTAGTCATTAATCTTTTCTATTCAATTAACTTTTATTCTTATTTCCTATATCGTTTGACTAATTTATAATGATTTTCACCTTTTTCTTCTTTTCTCTTTTTCTTGTTTTTCTTGTTTTTTTCTTTTTCTTCTTTTTTCTTTTTCTTCTTTTTCTTTTCCATCTTAATCTTTACTTTCTTCTTAAATAACTTGCTGAAATTAGACTAAACGTCAACTGATTAATTTATTTATTTCCCCCCGTTTTTTATTATGATATTCTGAATATAATTAATATATTTTTTTATTTTTTATAGAATTAGAATGATTAAACCTAATTTATTACACTTTCTCAATCTTTATCTCTGATTCATTTGTTCTATTCAGTTTATTTAATTTCTTTATTATAGTATGTATATACGTGTAATGAGGTTCATGCATCATCATGAAGATGAAGTACACTCATTAGTTACTTTATTTTCTCTGGAAACATAATAATTAATATATCCATTGTTGTTTATACATTGTTTTGCCATAACTCATTTATTTAAAACAAAATACTTCAGAAATTGTCGGATATCCGTTTTGTTTTTTTAAAGAAAATTGAATAAATAAATGAGAATTCAAAAATGATTTGAATAAAAAGAAAACTTGAAAAAACTTGACGTATCATTTCAAGGAAGAAAACATTTTAAAAATAAGAGAAAATAAAAGTAACCCTTATAATTATGTTACCCCTTCCAGCCATATAGAATGATGAAGCCTATTAGGTCCCTCTGGAGAAGAATGCTACATCGAAGCACGGCACAACTACCTGGACGGGATAGTTGTTTCTGCACTGGTTACGCAAAACCATTACATAAGACTCATAACCCTTTTTTGTCTTTTTGTTTTTGTTTGGGCAGACTCATTTTTTATCACTCTTTTGAACTCTCAATAGTTATGCAATGACTCTAAGTAGCATTCGTGATCGTTCTCGGGTATTGATAGAGTGGTTGATTAGACCGATCTTCACCACCGGGGATTACCGCTCACGTTAGCTCATGGAAACAGTCCCATGATCCAGGAGGCACGACAAGAACGTGTGAGTCGGGTTTTGCCTCTCATAATTACGTTAAATTTATTGACGCTTAATAATACGACTTGTCTTTGTTAATTTCATTTGGAATAGTTCAAAAGAGAACAAAGTTTACTAGGGTATATTCTAAGCATAATTATGATATTGACTGAATTAGTCTCTTATTTAATATCTCATAAACTATATAACTAATTCATAATATATATGTAGAAGTGTACATTTTAGACGAAGTTTTATTTATTATAGTTGAAAGCGTGAGTCAATTGAAGCTAGACAACCATGGAAAACCTGAAAACACTGGACGGCCGTTTCGTCCTATTATGGGACTCCTCAGCAGTGCGCATCCACGAACCCGCTCTCGCGAGACTCGAACCCAGGACCTACCAGTCTCGAGCCGAAGCCCTTAACCGATAGACCACTGAGTTGGCATCCAACGGTGTTAATGTCTAACTTCAACTGATCCACGAAGTTGAGCAACCATTCACCAATTGTCTTTATTTTTTGTTTTATTTTTTGAACTGGATGATTTGATCGTAGAGCTTTCATTGTTCTTCTGTACAACATCATCAACCCAAACTTAACGCTTGTGTACATTTACTGAGCTACAAATATTCTCTAATATTTCAAGTGTACATTTTGAAATGTCATTGCAAAAAAAGCATTGAGATTATTACATTAAATAATTGAAATATCTGTATTAGAAAGATTTTATACTAAATCTCTTAGTAGATAAACGTATGTATTTCAAATAAGGATCTTTCTAACGTTTCTGTCTATGTAATAGAAAAACTAAATTTACAGTAAGTATATAGGTATCAAATTCAAATCAAAATATGAAAAATACGTAATTTAATATGAACATATTCCATTTAACCATAGAAAATCTATGACACTTTTGTGTTCATTAAACAGTTAAAGTCTATATCATTAATATCATATGAAAAGATTTTAATACAATCTTAGAATAACATCAGTTGACGCATAACTACAGGTCAAAGGACAATATAAATCGTGGAGATTGTGTTTACTTGACATTGGTATAAAATGAACAGGTTACAGGTTATTTTAGGAATGATAAATTGTTATTCAACTGTTAATATACCATAATAATGATCAGATTACATCAATAGATAATCACGTCACATTCAGCATCATTGCACTTCATAAGTCATGATTTCTCACTAGAATCTCATAGATTCATCATTAAGTTAATAGTCATTAAGGAACATATGATTGTTATCATAAAGAATATAATGCACTTATCATGAAACACTTGTCAAATGTTTCTCATTTCTCAACGGTTTGTCAGTTGTTGTTGTTGGTATTATGTGATGAAAATCTCCAAAAATCTTATCTCTGTAATTTCCTGTTTTATGATTTATTTAAACTCATATTAAACTAACTAAATACAGGTTACAATTCAGAAATGTGTATTGGAATTAGAATAAGTGATTTGTTAATTAAACAACAAAGAATATTTAGATTTAAACGAAATGCTGGTTTTCTTTCATGATCATTATTTACACATCTGTTCATTACTGATAATGGATATGTTTCACTATTCAACAGTTTATAGAAGAAAGATGAAAGATAAATACAGATATCTACTGATACAT